TAAGGATTAAYTTTGAGTTGACCTGGACTTTATCTGTGATCATTACCAAAATAGCACTGCAATGTAAAATAAAGGCTATGTAGCCACAGCCCCCCAACAAGGCAAATAACCTTCCTAGGATACTCTTGATCTGCCATGGCTATTTTGAACCAGTTATCAGTTTAATCTATAAAGTTGCCCTACAGGCAGTGAATTGCTTGGTAACAAAGTTGTGTGTATCCAACACAAATGATTTCAGAATCCCTGCAAAGCAGCACAGAACAAGGCAYGAGGAAGTTTTCAGTCATCATCTAATTTCTGTCTGCCCAAACAAATGCTACCTTTAAGGGATTGTTTTTTTCATTCAAAGATTTTGTTGCTTACAAAAGAAGGGTGAAAGGCTCTAAGTTTCAGCTCTACATTCAGACATTCCTACTAGCTTAGGCCTGGTTTGCTTCAGTTCCTGTGTTTGATTCTTTGTATTCCACTCTCTGTGTTGTCCCAGAAAATACGCTAAGAAGTGGATTGAAATTTTCACAATGCAAGGGTTAGACTCAATTGCCTGCTTTATCTGCTGTCTTTGCACAGTACATATGGGGAAACTTTCAGCAAAATCTGGAAGGTAAAATATAGACACTGATTTCTTTTTTTTTCAGAGAGGTTCCTTTAAGTAGAGGGAAAATGAGGTCATATTTTGATTTTTCATGGCTGGCTTATCTCCAAGATGGCTTGMACCCAGTTTCTTCTAAACTTTTCACTCCTCAGAAGGGTAATATCTCATGTCAGAATGATAAAGTATCATGTCAAGTAGTACTGCAGAACACTGTAATCTGAACATTCATTAACAGTACAAAATTTCTGAYGGTAACAGCTACAAATAACTTACAGGAAACAGTAATAGAAATTGTTTATTCAAGAGTACTTCCTGTGGCTCTGCAGTTCATCCAGGTGCACAAGCTCTATTTTTCACAGAGCATTCATCTCTGCTTCTCTTAGTTTGGATTTYTCATCAACAGATTACCCAAGCCAAGATCTAAGCGTAAGTTTTGTGAACAAATAAATCAGGACTCACACTTTCTACTGAACAGAAACAAAAAAGCTAAACCAGAAGGTGTTACATGAAGACCAAAAGATGGATGAAGTTACAAGTTTGCACTGTTATCATTGACCATATTTGACAGAAGCAAAATTAGGAAGCACTGGTATCAGACCTGTTCTGCCAAATCTACCTTGCCAGTGTAAATTGTCCCAGTAGCATACTAAGATAAATTCTCATTTCCCACCTATTCTGTTTTTTGGGTTAGGGGATTTTTTGAACATGCCAAGGTTAAAATCATACCTATGCCATTGGAGTASTTTTAGCAGTGATGCCCACCTCTCATACACCTAATTCTTTGACACTCTGACTGAACAGAGTGGGGGAAAAATCACCTTTTGATACAGCACTCATTTTTTTGCCAAAGCAGACAGATACATTGTACATTATAATTGTCTGAAGTGGCATTCACTGGCAGAGCTCTAAGTGAAGTACTACAAATCTAAAAGTTTAGTGATRTTTTTGCTTCAAAGCATTCACAGACAAGGATTGGTTTCTTTGGAAACTGCCATTCTATATACCACGTGAATAGCTTTCAGGTTATAGGTTCATGTGCATTTATATGAATATTACTTATGGRGCATGGATTTGTCATATAAATTGCATGGTTTGCATATTTTTTCCTGCATGGACAGGAAAACATTAGGAAAAGGCATAAACAGTTGATGGGTAACAGTGTGTGATTGTCATCAGTCATGTCAGTTCTGGGATTTCAAGATATCCAGTATTCATCTGAAAAATATGCAAATACTAATCAGAGCTGCTTAACACATCTTCCTGATGTGCAGCTGAATCCTTCTGAATAGCACTTTTTCACTCACAAAAGTAGTCAGATGTTTTTTGACTTTTTTTCCTTTCAGTTCAACCGGATCAGCTGAAAATTTTGCATTGGGCTTCCTATGTGAAACTTTCCATATCTCTTCCATTTTCTCTTGAGCAAATGCAAATTACATTGAGCCCATTTCAGATTAATGTATTTCTCTATAAAAGAGATAGAATACATATGTAAAAGTCATTGAAGGAATTTCTTTTCTTTTTCTACAGGTTCCTGGGAATCTTGCAAGGGAAAACTGCAGCAATTTAATGCCTTTCCAAGCTATCATTTTTTGAATATATTACCTGATAGTCTGAAGCAAAAGTAAAATGAGGTGATTTACAAACTGTGTTGAGGCTTCTCCCATTCCAAAGTACCATCCTTAAACAGAAAAGCACTGTCTTTTAATTCTTACTGAAACATGCAAGTCTGGCAGGCCTGACAAGTGCAGTCTGAAATGTGATCCCACATTGATTCCTACACTGATGATGTGATGAATTCACAGCCAGTGCTATCATCAGACCACAGTTAGTAGCCTCGGCTGCAGTTTTCAAAGAAATACGGCCTTTCCTGTAGAAGAAAACCAACACAAAGACAAATTTATGTCAATGAATTACTCACATTTTGGCAAACGGCTACCAAAAAAATGGTGTCCATATACACATTAGTGATAGAAGAGAAATAACTTTATGTCTAATCCCAAATTCCTGGAAAAATCTCAGCTGCTCAATCTGCAGGATTCAGAGTCCATGCAATCTGGCATATGGTCTTGTTTAGATTAAGGTGCAATAATAACATTGTTAGTAGAATTTCTCTTCACTGCAGTCTCTACAACTGAAAAAAAAACAAGATAATACTTTGATTTCCTTTTCATAACCTCTTTATTGATTTTTTTTCTTTCTTTCTTTCTGAATTTTTTGTTGCTTATACTTGTAGTCATAATGCTTCAGTTATTAATGAGAGAAGTCCTTCTCAAAGTAGGAACGATAGAATCAATCCTGTCAGAAAAATAACGACATTTGCAAAGTTATCTGGAAGCAGCAAGCAAATTGAAGAGAAATTCCATACCTTCCAGAGCAGGTGTGGAGTAGGAGGGCTACAATAGGGCTTTGCACAGCTTGCTTGTTTTCAGAGCAGTTTATAGATCTTGAAGGCACCTGTTTTACTGGAATAATACAGAGGTCAGGSAAATGCAGCTGCCTGAACAAAACAGCCATAGCAGACAGTTTGCTTCTAAGCAAAATGAATTTCAGGCCATTGGCAAGTAAAACAACCTTAGCTGTAAAATAGTGTTGAATTTACTCTGAAAGAAATACTGTGGTACTCTGAATGCACTTTTAAAAAGCAGTTAGTGAAAATGTGTTAAGGATATGTCCACTTAAAGCCTTATTATTGTAACTCTTCTGCTGTGTGGGAACCTCAAGTGAAATGGCCTAGAAAGTGATTAAATATAAAGCCTTCAATTTCCAAATGGAAATAAAGCCAAAAAGGAAATGTTTTGCATTCTAAAGTGAACGCAGTTGTGATAACTTTGTCATTAATGATAGCAAGGAAGGACTAAAGCATCCCCCTCACAGACATGAGTGAGGGCAGGTTGGACTCACAAGGATCTCGCATCACAAGGGTGGGTTTTATATAATTTCCTGTTGCAACTGGAGCACTTCCTCACTGAAAAGAACCCAAAATTCAGTACAAGTAGAAGCTGAGTTACCTGCTTTGCAATCAGCAAAGGTGACTTCATGGTGAGAATAGGAAAAGCAGGGAGAGAACAGGAACACTGAGCCACTCAGCAGTGATGAGCTATAGTCCAGCTACAATGTTTTGGAAATGCAGCTGGAGATGCTGATCCCAGATGAAGCAAAGGCTGTTGCAGTAATCACAGCAGCACAACTACTGAAGCTGCCCCATCAGCAAGCATGCAAGGAAAGGGAGAGAAGGACAAAAAAAACAGTAGGCACTGGAAAATTATTTGTGAAATTCTGGCAACCAACCAACCACCATTACCACCAAACCCACATACATTCCTATAAAGACAGCCAGTATTATTATCAAGGAGCAACCTCCCAGCTGCTATTGGTCTCTAATTGAAAGGTCAGCAGTAATAATGATAAATAATATCACAGAAAAATTATCTGAAGCAACAGCAATTTCTTAGATGCTGATTGAGTTCTTCTACCTAGAGCATCATTGGACAGTGGTAGGGGGACCCAAGGAGCCCCTCCTGCAAATGAAATGGTCTCATGGCAAGACACAGAACGAGCGTAGAATAAAATCTGTAACATTGTGAAAGCATGGACAGATAGATGGAAACAGCTTTTCTAGTTATTCAACTGGCAGATAGCAGTCCCCTGCAAACTAGAAGGTGGAGGGTCATCTAATAAAATCTTCCCTTCAAAGAAAATTGCCAAAATGYTGAAGAAATAGAACAACAATACAGAATTGTATTTTTATTATTTCTATCATTAATACAGAATTGGCAGCAGCTGCTTAGTTTTCCTGTATCAATTCAAATGGTCACAGTGGCAGATAAATCCACGTACAGGATAATTCACATTCTACTTAAATTAGTGAAAGTCAGTAGTTAGGAGCAATTTATACAGCTCAGGCTTTTACAGGGAAAGATTGTTGCTGAAAGATTGCCAGGGAAACAGTTTATATCAAGTTAAGAGGACCTGCATGCACCCTGCATGCTTCATCAAAACAGCAGTGATGAAGCCAAAGTAAGAGCAAAGAAAAACTAAGGGCCATTAAAAATGAAGGCTGAAATTGTTAATATAAAAATGCTAACAATATCCACAGGACACTAAACTGCTATAATAAACTTGTGCTGTAAGAGTATGTGGCACACAGTGGGCTATGATTTCCTCTTTTTGCAAGAGAAAGATTGGAGGAAGCTAGAACAAAATCATCATGACATCTTTGATAATTATTTTTAAAAATTAATGTGTCATTTATCTGAAACTAACATAAAAGTCTTATTCAAAATGTCACAGTAGTACTCACGGGGAAAAAAAAAAAAAAGCTATTTTTCTCAGTTTACAGCTGTGGACTTTGCACAAATACTCCACAGTAAGTGCATTTTAAGAGACTGAGTGGCTTTATATCCACTATTCTCAAACTTAACAAATATTAAACCCATAATGCTTTTCAAAATGTAAGCCTCTATTGCACCTGTTTGTACTTTGGATACCCACACTCACATGAAGCACAGAGTGTGATGTTAGTTTGTCCCAAAAATGCATTGCACTTTCCCAAAGAGTGGTTCACAACTTGGGATTTGCAAAAAGACCAGTCACAAAACCCTAAACTTTAGTATTTCAGTTATTAAAAACTTCCTCCTCTCTTCTAAGGAATGCAATTTTACATTATACACTTYCTAACAGAGAAATCCAGGCAGAAAAAACTTGCAGGTTAAATAATTCCCATAATTTCCAGYAAACAGCCCAAGTGTGTGACACTACCACAGATCTCAGATCTGTTTGCTTCCTCTGAACAATGTGTGGGCACACACACGGATTTTCTGAGCAGAAAACTGACTCATGATAGTAAATKGTTGTAATCTGATTCCCACAGCACAGGGAAGTCATTTAATGTTGTGCCTCTCCACAGGCATTCTCTAGGTACAAAAATGTTCCTCAAAACTCATCTTTGATGCTGAAATGTGGCTGATCTTCAGGTTTAAAGTCCAGATTGGGGCTGCCATCCTCATTCAGAATTCGCCGAGAAGTGTAGCCAACAATTGGGTATTTGGCTTTATAAACATTATTGAAGATGTCATCCAGGGACTTCAGTTCCTCTTCTGTGAGTCCTGTCTAAAGGAAAYAGGGAAATGAAAGTCCCGTCTCAAGGAAATAAAAATAGAGGTATTTACATGTGGTTTTTTAAATGATTTACTTAAGGTCAGCTTTTGGGTTTACATTGCAGAGCATGATGAACAAATTGATAGTACAGCCTGTAATTTTGTTCTTTTCATTAAAATTCACTCTTGACAAAACTCTTCTATATTCAGGTCAAACAAGCAACAACCCACTGCCAGAGCTAGCATCCACTGGCATGTCAGAGGCATAGGATACACCAAACAATTGACAAAGGAAGGAATTTACTGTCTTTGGGACCATCTTTGTAAACAACAGGTGATTTCCCTTTTACATGCATACAKAATTTGTGTTGATTCCACAAATTAAAAACCTTCCTCCTGAAGGCTTTTAGCACCTTTCATGAGCACTAAATATATACCCATTTTATGTATTTAAAGAGTACTAATTCATTTTGTTTTAAATATGTGAATCAACTCATATAAATACAAGTAATTTAAAATCATCACTCATCATCTTGCATAATAATAAAAATTTGCAAAATGGAACTAAACTGATGGCCCATTTTCTTACTGTGTCATGTGTAAGATCTGCTGGATCCAGAGACATCTTTGCAACTCCTCTTGTTGAGTCTTTTCCAACCAAAGCATTGTATGGGGCTCCTTTTCCATAAAATTCTGTCAGATTTAAAAAGAAAAAATAATCCAGTGATGATCTGAAAATGTGCAGAGTGTATTCAGCCTCTACCCTTCACCAGCCTGTTGCATG